TTGCATTTTTCCTCTATTTCTAACGATCTTTCCTATGGGAGCTATGTATATGATATAGTAGTCCGATTTTCATTTAATTTTACACAAAATTGAAGAATAATATGAAATGGCTATAACTTAAATTAAATAGAAATCTGTTCAAAACTTAGAAAGGTCTAATTTTTAATTATATTAATTTATCGATCGTTCCAATGGGAGCTATATGATATAGTAATCCGATTTTCTTGAAACTACACAAAATTGTAGAGTAATATAAAAAGGCTATATCTTAAATTTGATCAAATTCTGTTGAAAACTGAAATTGTTATAATTTTTTTGTGAAAATTATCCGATTATTCCTATGGCAGCTATATGATATAGTCATATATGATATATATGATATGATATAGTCCGATCCGGCCCGTTCCGACATATATACGAGTGAGAGTATATAGAAGACTAACTGCAAAGTTTCATTCAGATAGCTTCAAAACTGAGAGACTAGTTTGCGTAGAAACGGACAGACGGACAGAAGGACAGACGGACAGACGGACAGACGGACTGACGGACAGACGGACAGACGGACAGACGGACATGGCTAGATCGACTCGGCTGTTGATCCTGATCAAGAATATATATACTTTATATAGTCGGAGGTGCCTCCTTCACTGCGTTGCAAACTACTGACTGAAATTATAATACCCTCCAAAAATAAGAAATAATTAAAAATCATTAAATTTTCATATGCCAAAAACATTTTATTATTCAAAATAAGTTTCTCCTTTAAGCTTTTAGACACTATTTTCTCGGGTGACTTCTGGCCCAAGCACATAGTAGTTAAGGAGTACGTGGGTAAAAAAAAAGAAAAGATGGATGGGAGTGCAACTATCCATTCCGGCACAAGCTACAGTATCCACTGTTGTGTTGTGCCTATCAGAATACTAGGGGCTTACGCAGCAAGCTCTCGAAGCTGTATTCTGATAGCTTTACTTCTTGGTAAATGCCGGAGATACTCTGCTCCAAAATTCTTTTAGCTCACTACACAATTTATATATATATATATTAGGTCGGCTTTTCAAGCGAGGAGGTGGAGTTTTAATTTTCGTTGACTCCTGCCTTATCTCGGAACAGGAAAGGTCTGAAGATTTCACGGATATAAAATTTATCTGTGTGAAACTATCATTTGCAGGTAGTTTTATTTATATCTCTTATTCGTATATCCCTCCATCGCCTGAAGAGCCAACTTATTGGAAACACCTTTCGGCAATTCGGGCCGTTTCCAAAAGGCTTTCAGATAGTGACCAACTACTGGCTCTGGGGGACTTCAATATACCTGGAGCTCGGTCTAACTTTACTTCTTTACTTTTGACTCATTGTAGGGTACAGTTTGTGCAGAACCCAAAACGATTTTATAACTTTGTGAACACTAAGCGTTAACCCAATTTATACCCTTCTTCGCTTAAATTCCATAATACCACCGCAAACTCTGACCTGGCCATAGCCGATCTTTTTGCGGAATTTTTTTAAAACAACTTATTCTCCCTCTACCACTTCAAGTCAGAGATAATAATTTTGCTACGCCCAGTTCAAACTTAATCTTCAGTCCCATCTTGAACAAAAGCTCTGTTATTTTAGATCTTCAACGTGTTAAGCCAATTTACTCACCAGGTCCCGATGGAGTACCAGGCTGCGTGCAGGTATTGTGCTGAGTCTCTGTATCACCCCCTTCTTAAGTTGTTTATCTGATCTTTAGAATCCTCAGATTTTCCCCTTATTTGGAAGGAATTTTTTGTTATTTCTCTCCACAAAAAGGTAGCAAATCGGATGCCAGTAAATATTGGGGTATCCCTAAGTTATCGGCAACCCCTAAACATTTTGAGAATGTAATCACTTCCCACTTGCAACACTTATGCGAATCCGTTATTTCTCCATGTCAAAATGGTTTTATGAGGCGAAAATCGACCACAACTGATGACTTATATGCTTAACGACTGCGCTTTGGAAAGAATCTCTCTTGTTGATGATCAAGGTGTCCGACTAGATTCTAAACTTTCGTTCTCCGAGCATATTTCTCGCATGGATTGCTAGGATTACAAAGACGCTTTTCACTTCATTAGTTCGCCCTTTACTAGAGTATGGTTCTTATGTGTGGAGTCCTCAATTCAGAGTCCATATTAATCGCATTGAATCTGTTCAAAAGAACTTTTTGCTGTTTGCCCTCCGAGGCTTAACCTGGGATGCTGACTTAAGATTGCCATCTTAATTAATTAGCCCTCCCTAGCTAACTGTAGAAAGATTCTTGGCGGCGTATATTTACACAAACTCATTCACGGGGACGTGTCTGCCTGCTTGCACAGCTCAATTTCCATGTTCCTCGACTAACGACTAGATCTTATTTTCCCTTTGTAGTACATCATAAGAGTTCGAAGTACATGAACCCTTCAGGGTTTTATGTACCGATTACACTCGCCTTTTTGATTATGTTGATGGCATTGAAAGGCTCTCTAAATTAAAAACCTTATTACTTGTAGTATTAGTTCGTAATGTATCCTAATTTTCCTCGTTCTATTGTCCATCTCTCGCATCTATCTAGTACGTAAAAGTGCCGTACGTCACACGGCTGCGCCCCTCGGTCGGTTGGGCGGGAGGTGGGCGTGGGATTCGTTCGCGAAAATAACTAATTAATAATAACTCATTGATAAAGACAAACTTGGATGCCACTGATTTAACTAATAATTAATATATCCATTTGTTTACATTCCTTTTTTTATTATTCTTATTTATATATCGGCGAAAACCCTCCACGAGGGCACCGGCTGGGCAATGGGCACTGTGTTATCCCATTCAACGGAAACGCTTGCTCTGTCCGGGGTTTTGCGGAGTCAAACTAATTCGATTTAATTCCTCCCGCCTAAACGTTGAAATAACTCATTCACCATGGCTGTAGTGGTTGGTTCCCCGTAAAACCAACCAGTTTATGGATACCTTAAAAATGGAGGAAATAATAAAATCAACCGAAGCTGGGATGTCAAAATGCGGTGGAAGGCGTGTGTAGTATGTGCATATATTGGCAACATTAAGTTGCATTAAATAAATAAACAAACTCCAGTGGACGTGAAATAAGATCACCCACTTATGCCAGACGCTAACTCAGCATTCCCACGCTGACCGCTATCAGCCAATTATGCTGCACTCTAAGCCAGCATTCACACGTTGACCGTGTGCAATATATATATATACCCATAAGACTTTCTCTCCCTTTAACATAATATATAATATATATATTCGCCTGCGCTTCTGTCGCTGCCAACGGCAGCGCAGTGGCATGCCATTATTATGTACTTAGGCTAAGTTCACTAAATTTTTTTGAATAAAATACATTCTGAAAATGACTACTTATGAGCACAGACGTGCTAACCAAATTTAACAATATATAAAATTATACATGGCGACCGTGACAAAGAGCAAAGTTCTTCGGATCAAATATAATCGGTCAAAAACAAGAAAAAAAAAATTATATATATATATATATAAATATTTAATATATATAATATTTAAAATGAAACAATTTAAGAAAACTGCCAAGTGATCTTGTGATCAAGCACCAAGTGAAGTTTGTGAAAGTTTATAAAATTATCCACAACAATATCAAATATTTAAATAATATATTTATTTAAATATAAATCGAAAAAAAAACAAAAGAAAATGAACTGATCGAAGACGTTTATCTGAGACAGACGTCAAATGTTTGGAGCAATGTATGTTGATATAAAAAAAAAGACGAGCTACAGAAGAACTAATAAATATTAAATACAACCACTGTGGTGCGCAGAGCCGCACACTACAGCGACGCTAGAACAGCGGATGAGCTGGTACAAAATATAAACGGGTGGTGAGCATAGAGCCGCTCACTGGTACGTCGAGGGAATATTGAATGACCACCGAGCCGACTTTTGAACACCCTGCTCCTGTCGAGCAAAGGGACCTGCCAAGCCTTGAGAGGCAATAGAGGCAGATCCAACCGCGGGACCAAAGCCCTTGACCATAGAGGAATACAAGGCACGAACAGCAGAAGAAGCAAGGTGGCTGCCGGATTAAATTGCTCAGCGCAAGGAAATTAAACATCGAGTTGCTGAAGACGGCAACCAACGAGGAAGACCGACAGCGATACAAAGAGCGCCTTGCAGCTCTTAACAATCAATTTCGTACTGCGAAGTAAAGCGGTGAGCTGCGTTAAACGCCATAGCTCCAACCGCCCCAATATTAATAACGTTGCCAATGCGGTTTCCGCTGCAACAAAAATTACTAACTTAATAGGGCCTCATTATCACCACTAACACATTATTCTCAGTCCTAAACTTAATATAAGTAAAATGTTGTAAGCTTGCTAATTTGCTATTGTAAACTGAGGATAATGAATTCATTCATTAATTAGGGAAATTATATAGGGTTTCAATATAAAAAAAAGAGAAAAAAAACAATTATTCAAGATATATCTATGTCTTTATCGAAAATTGCTTGCCAATCATAACACTATGGGCGGCAAACAAGCCAAAGCGGACGACAACACCGCAGATGTTGTAAATACGATCGAAGTCGTGGATACAACCCCACATTTAAACTCACTCTATATGATACTTTTGATTTTAGTCATAATATCAGCTATTAACCTAGCACTAAAAATATATATTCTTCAGAAGAGATCGTTGAGAAAGACCTACATGAGTCGAGCCAATGATTTAGAAAGAATATAAAAATAAATAAAATTATACATGGGTATGGTCTGCACCTGTGTCTATTAATAATGTAATAGTTGTGTTTGTTTTGTGGTTTTTAGCTTTAATAAAGATACTCAGATTTAGGTTCAAGTTAATCACCTTTACTGCTGATTGCTTAAGGGGGTCTGGCTGTTTTCCGATTGCACGTTGCGCACATTTTGGTTGCAGTTCAACATTTTGGTTTAAATTTAATTAAGAAACCCGTTGTTTTCGTTTGATATATTCTGCAAAGAGTCTTTTGAAATGGCTCGAACCGAGTTGGAGAAAAAAGCTAAGCACCAAGGAAAGAAACGCAAGCACGAGGCGACTGGAGATGCTGAACATGCGGCTAGAGACGACGAAGTGGCGACCAAATCTTTGATCCTGGAGCCACAGGGAGAGCCATCGGCAACTGTCAATGATAAAGCAACCAAACGGCAACAGCAGGAGGACGACATCCAGACAAACAAGAAACACAGCAAAAATCTGCTTCAGAGAAGCACATTGCTACAAATGGTGGCGAGAAATCTCCCAAACAAAAGTCCCATAAGAGAAAACAAGCCCAGGCCGAGACCACAACTGTCCTGGAAAAACGCAGCAAGCAGGATACCAACTCTGACGATGACGTCAACGAGGAGGAAACGCAACCGACTGAAGCCCAACTCCGTGAAGCTACACGTCCGGAGAATGCCAATGAGTGGTCACAGTGCACAAAAAAAAAGCAAAAGCACCAGCACCTCGAAGCCCAACGTAGCCAAAACTCTAACAAGGAGGCCAAAATCACCAAGGAATACCTTGTGAAATTCATCAAGCTCCGCCAGATCTCCATCCAGCAGACGGCCTTCGATGAGGACAAACTAGAATCAGAGTTGTGGCCGTTAGCTCTCGAGTATTTGGCCAGCTCCCAGGGAGCAGCGCGGGCCAAGATAAGCAAATTAGCCGAGGAGGTGATTCAGGAACTTGACAAAAAGGGTGAGAAGCTGGAGGATGAAAAAGAGCGCCAGAAGCTAATCGAATCCACGCGGTACCAGCGGGCGCGTGATATGCTCCAAAGCTTCGACTAGAGTTATCTGTTATTGTTAAGGTATTTCCTAGAATTTAAATGAAAACCGTAGTTTTTTTTACATTAACATACAAACAACAAAAAGTTTTTGTATATTAAGAGCAAAGTTCAATAGTTCAATTTAATTTTGACCATGTTTCACAGACTTATTATCCTTAACGGCTTTTACAAAAGAATTATGTATAATTGTTTTAATTTTTATAATCCTTTTGATCTGTAAAAATATATACATATGTAATATAAAGTTTGCAGTTATAGATATTCACAAACAAAAATAAACAAAAAAAAAATCGTAACATACGTGATGGTCATAATACAGACCATCTCGAAAGAATGTTAAGGTAACACCACAGAAGTACAGGTGCGATTACATCGCTAAAATGAAAATACATGGAATGGAAAAATCTTGTAATAACTATAAACAACATTAGGGATGCTTTTGATAAATCATATAAATGCATCATCAGACGCTTATTTTTCATATAAAAGTATTGATAACGCAATACAACGCGTTACAAAAACTAATATTAGAACACAAAGGCAAACTCACTGAAGAACATAAAGCTCAATGCTTAAAAGTTCTCAGTTCATTCGGCAGAAGACTACATAATACTGGTGTTAGACACAGTATCATAATAGAAGTCCCAACCGACATAACCAATATAGCGGAATTCGACGAAAACCAGCTAAAAGACCTGGACGAGTCAAAACCGCAAGAGGATTTTGATATCGAAAGCGATATCGAATCCATAGAAGAGGTAAAGCCAAACCCATTACAACAAGTTACAACAAACATGGCCAATACAATGGAAGCTCAGAGGGCATACCTTAAACAGGTATCCTCCACAATACCTGAATTTGATGGTAAGAAACTCCATCTAAACAGGTTTGTGACAGCACTAAAATTGACAGATCTAACCAAGGGAGACCAGGAAAAGTTAGCTGTAGAGGTCATCAAGACCAAAATGATTGGACCATTGACGTATAAAGTCAAACAAGCAACATCTATACAAGCAATAATTGGATTATTTCAGGCAAACATAAAAGGCTAATCACCTGACGTTATAATAGCCAAATTATTAAATGCCCAACAAAAAGGCAAGACCGCGTCCCAGTACGCTACCGAAATAGACAACATGCGTAAGCAGCTTACATGTAGAAGCAGCTTACATAGACAGCGGATTAGACGCTGATAATGACGACGAATTCGCGACAAAAGAGTCGATATCGGCAATGATAAAAAACAGTGCCAATGACTCACTTAAAATGATTTTGACAGTGTAACGAATTGCTACACTCAAAATGAATGTTACAGGCAAGTTGTTAGCTCGAAATCGGAGCGCACGCAAAATATTTTTCCGGCTTCGGCTCGTCGGCTACGGGAGTGATGGTCTTGCTCGGATCTCGGGTTGCCTTTGCATAATTTTAAACAGAAATAAATGCGTACAACAACAAGCTTATACCGGGACAGAGAAGCAGACAACACATAAATAAAAGTTGAGGAAAAGTTGAACTCTTTTCGGCTTACTTGCCCCTCTTCAGCACTCCTGGTGTCCTGGAGGCTCTAGTTTGCCCACCCTTCCTATGGTCGCTCCCATCCTCAGCGCTATATAGCTTAAGCGACCCCTTTCACAAGTGCTGCCCTACATCACAACGCATGCCAGCTGCGGCCAATTCTCGACATTTTAAAACATTATAATAATTTTATTTAAAACTAGAAAAATGTAAATTCGTTACTTAAAATAGAAAACGTAGATAGACAATTAAACATTAAAATTTAGAATAAAAATCTATATATATATAAATGCTCTGTTCGTATCTACTTTTTTTGTGGACTTGAAAAGTTCTGAACCGTTTAAGCCCAAATTTTTACACAACATGCGTTGAGGTTCCAGCTCGGTTATTGTCTGCTTTTGACGTTGATAGCTTATCTGCGGTTGCGAATATATCAATTTTTTTAGCGTTTCCCCGTGCCCCTACTGCTGCGCCCTCCACAGGCAGCCAGCTGAATCAAAGCATTTCCTGTCAAACATTCAAAACATATTGAAAGAAGAAAGTTGAAAAGTTCTGAACCGTTTAAGCCCAAATTTTTAGAGAACATGCGTTGAGGTTCCAGCTCTGTTATTGTCTATTTTTGATGTTGATAGCTTATCTGCATTTGCGAATATATCAATTTTTCGCGTTTCCCCGTGCCCCTACTGCTGCGCCCTCTACAGGCAGCCAGCTGAATCAAAGCATTTCCTGTCAAACATTAAAAACATATTGAAGGAAGAAATTGGAGATACAAATTTTATTTTTTTGATTAGGTTCAGTAAGAAACGAAGTCATGCCACCCAAGAAGTCGAGTTTGGGTCGTCGTACTCCCAATACAAAAGCAAACAGACGTAAGATTACGAATATAACTGACAAAGAACGGGCCTCCATCCGAGAGACTGAGCGGCTGAAAGCAATGCAGATGCACAACGAGGAATCAGCAGAAAGACGAGCAGATAGGCATGAGAGAAAACGATTGAGAGTTAGGCAGTCGCGTTCTGCAGCAATCTATTTGATTCACTCTCAAAATAATGAACGCGACAGGGCAAGGGTAGCTGAAGCGCGTTTACAGCTTGCAGCAGATCAAAACCTGCAATACAATCGTCTTGCATTCAGATATAATCCAACTGTTGATTATTGCTCGAATCGCAATGTCGTTATTGGCCGGATGCATCAGGTGTTCACATACTGTCAGGCTCTCAAATTCAAAACGAACCAAAAAGGATTGTGTTGCGCTTTCGGGAAAGTGAAATTGCCTCAACTTGAAGCACCACCAGAGCCTCTGCACTCTCTATTTATTAAATTATAAATGCGCAATTCATGCCAACTTTTAAAATCAAAGGACAAATCTATCACAAAGCAGGTTCCCTGCTTCCGTTCCCTGACAGCGAACACAAATTTCTTCAAATGTACTTAATTGGTGATTATGGAGATGAAGTAGATGCACGTTACGGAATTAATACCTCGCTGAAGAGGCACATTATTTCGCAGCTACAGAAACCTTTTTATGAAAGGAACAATTTGGTGCGTTTGTTCAAAACAGCCATCGATATGATGCCTTCGGATACCAATAAAATTGTCATTCATGCTGACGAAACTTCGGTCCGAGGAATATATCCATTTGCGGGATGCTGTGATGAATGACCGTAATACAACCAACGTTGGAAAGCTCACGATTTTGCCATCCTCATACATAGGTAGTCCACGCCACATGCAGGAATATGCTCAAGATGCCATGGCATATGTTCGTTGCTACGGCCGTCCAGATTTATTACCTTCACATGCAATCCAGCGTGGGACGAGATAGTACAGCTGTTATTTCCAGTCCGTGTTTTTAGACAAAAGCTCAAGTCACTGATGGATTTCATTGTGAAACATGGAGTTTTTGGATCTGTGCGGTGCTGGATGTATTCAGTAGAATGGCAGAAGAGAGGATTGCCGCATGCGCACATACTGATTTGGCTGTATGATAAAATTACTCCAGACGAAATTGACAATGTGATATGCGCTGAGATTCCACGGGCAGAGGTTGATACAGATTTGCATGCAGTTGTCATCAAGAACATGATCCATGGTCCATGAGGTACCCTCAACCCAAGTTCACCATGCATGGTAGACGGGAAGTGTTCCAAGCGATATCCTTGAGCATTTACAGCCAACACCGTAACAGGGACGATGGATATCCTCTGTATAGGAGACGGTCAACTGAAGATGGAGGGACTTCGGCAACTTTAAACATGAGAATTGGTGATATTGAGGTAGACAATCGTTGGGTGGTTCCATACTCACCACTATTGTCAAAATCATACAAAGCGCACATCAACGTAGAATATTGCAATTTTGTGAAATCGATTAAATATAACTGCAATTACGTGAATAAAGGCAGCGATATGGCAGTTTTTGGTGTTCAGGCAGAAAATTGTGACAGCAATGCAGTACGAGTTGTCGATGAAATCTCTCAATACCAGGCTGGAAGATACATAAGCAGCAACGAGGCTGCATGGCGAATTTTTTTGTTCCCAATTCATGAACGCTATCCAGCTGTAGTTCACTTGGCAGTCAATTTGGAGAATGGTCAACGTGTCTATTTCACAGAACTAAATGTGCAAGAAAGAGTCCTGAATCCGCCTACGACAACTCTGACTGCCTTCTTCACCTTATGCCAGGAAGATGCTTTTGCCATAACCTTGATGTATTCAGAAGAGCCCTCTTAACCACAATATGCCACAGAGAAACGCGGCAGGGTACAGCTAGTAATAAATAAAAGATTAAAAATACTAAAAAAACATGCTTTTATAAATAACCGAACAAAAAAGAAGAAAATAATTTATAATTACAATCAAAATTATTAAATTCCGAGCAATAATATATAATTATAAACAGGATCACTAAATTTGAGTTAAAAGCGTGGAGTGCATCCGGAGACACGGTAGTATCTCGCGCCAAGTACCTTATTATTATTTAATTTTTATTTATTTTTTTTATGTAATTAATTATATCAATCATTGTTTTAACATGTATTTAGTTCTACTATTGCTGTGAATTTGTCATTTGACTAATATACATAATGCTGTCACTAAGCACAACGTTTAAATACATACGTGACGAGATATTCTACAGCTGCACCGTTTTTGTTAATCTAATAAATTTTTGTAAATATCAGACATTTTCTTTTATATTTTATGTTCACAGATATGTATTCATCATTGTTTGTAACAATAGTTAAACATGTACTTGGCAAAGCATTAAACAATGAAACTGTTCTTTGTAGGATTTTTCTATAATTTTATTATTCTCCCCTTACAGATAGTTGCCCTTAGAATATTTGTAACATTGATAATAGATACTCCCACGCTCTTAACTCTGAATTTAGTGATCTTGTTTATAATTATATACTAATGCTCTGAATTTAATAATTTTGTTTGTAATTCTAAATTATTTTCTTCTTTTAAGTTTGGTTATTTATAA